ACACCATTACCAAGAAACTTCTGTGCTTTTTCTTGAAAAAAGTAGGGAACCTTGTAATGGATAACCTTGTACTAGTCGAAGTTATCCATAGCTCGCACTCTTGAAATAAAAGTCAAATTTCATAAAAACACAACTAGAACTTTCTCTAACTCGAGGTGTTTTGTGGATTATGCTGATTCGAGTTAGGGAATTTCAAATGTATTTCGATATAGAGTTGCCACCAATTTGTTAAATTAAATACTACCGTAAAAGTAAAATTAAATGTGTTAATGTTTTTTTTTTGCATATATTAAAATTATAAATTTTTTTAAATATAAAAATATATATTTATGCTTTATATTTTTTATTCAGTTTTTTAGTAAACAGTGTTATTTACGTCAATGAAATTTCGGTTAGACCACTCTTATATATTCGACTTGTAACAAATAAAAATACATGAAGCTTTTGTTCTTATCGCTTTTTTTTTGGAAAATTGTAATTTGTAGACATTTGAGTACTTCGCCTAAAGATAATATACATACATGCCTAGAAGCAAAAATATTTCTAAAAATAAACAAAAACGATTATAATCACATTAAATTATGTCAACCGATCTGCCGATCTTTCACTTTAAATTACCAAAACTTTTAATGTAAGGCACACATCTCCTCCTCAGAACCTTACTTCAATTCTCTTTTTATTATTTTTAGCCATTTCGTTAGAAGCTTATTTGTTGTTATCAAACTTGTTATAAATTTGATTGTAGTATTTGTGAAATATTCACTTGACATTGTGACCTTCGCTATCATACTCGTAACAAAAACTGTACGAGTACATTATTACACAAACAAAAAGAACATTGGCGAACTTCATGGCTTTCTCGCTGCCCTCTTGATGATGGTACAGTGTGGTCACGTCAATTAATATTAGAGCAAAGTAGTAATAAATATTTTTTAGTTATTCATTATCGATTATTTTATATTATTTGCTTTTTTTTGCTGAAAATAAACCGATTTGTAAGTAATTATATTGTGTTGAAAATTGTAAACGTCTTAAAAATAATGATTTCACGTTCTTCTTCTTTATTGGCGTAGACAACACTTACGCGGTTACTCCCGAAATTTCGCCTTCATTTACGTATATAAAATATAATTGACAATGTTATTATAAAATTTGTGTAAAAACAAAAAATGAAACAAAATTAAAAAAAAAAAAAAATTTATTACTTTTTCATTAATTAACATTTTCATGATTTCTATTAAGGAGGATAACCATTCACGTACTTTTTAAGAATAAATTGGGGTTTTGTGTTTCAGATGATCCAAACATGAGAAATCGTGTCCGCCAATGAAAAAACGCATCACATTCACCCAGGCATTTCTCCGACAGATGTCATCAAAAAATTCCGAAAATATTTGTCTATACACTAAACGATATATGTACATACCTCATGGTTAGAGATAGTCAAAGTTTTCAAAAAATTAATTTTTGCATTTTCGTTGAGGGTAATATTTTAAAAATATTCTCTGAAAATTTCAATTTGATCCGATAATTAGTTTTTGAGTTATTCGACATCGACAAATAACAAAGAGAGCTCGGGCACTTCAAAGCGCTAGTGTGAAACTTTAGACGCGTTTTTCTCAAAACTTTGTTTTTTGAACTGGTGACAACTGTAACTCGAAAACAGCTCAGTAGATTTTAATGAAATTTATACAGCATACTACATAATAAACTCGCACCTTATCGAGGGATTTTTATTTTTTCAAAAATTTCGGTTTTTTAAGACCAATTAACTTTTGATTTTTTCCCAAAAATTTAAAAAAAAATTTTCTCAGGCAGCCATTTTGTTAATTAAAAAAAAAAAATCCTTCGATCAGACCCAGGATTATCTATTCATAAAACTTTGTCCGATTGACTTTAGTTGAATCTCCAAGGACTTATGGCAAGTACCTTTTTTTACATCTCGCCGATATCGAACCACTATAGCACATAGTTGCCATACAAACTGATCGATTTTATTTAAGTTCCTGTAGGGAAAATTCTTCTTTTATTATTTGCTAAAATAATTTCTTGATATTTGTCATGGGTTATTGATTAACATAATGGTACAATCTTCGAACAAATTGTTGAGATTACTATATCATATATGTATGTCCGTAGCTGTCATACAAACTGGCGACTAAAACCGAGATAAAGATCTTTTAGTAGCCTTTATTTTATAAGAAGTAGAAGATAATGTTTTTACCTATGTTCTTTACAAATACTACTTACACTGGATATAGAATAGAGCCATTGTTCTGTTGAGCCACTGCTATTATAAGTAGTTCAAAAAAGTCGAAATCAATCAGTTTCTAGATTCTCAAGTGTCTGAATACATTGTGAAATATGTATAATATATTTTTGATAGGAAGTACCCTTTAATATCAAAGTATCTTTTATTCTTCTGTGGAATAAAAATATTTCTTCGTTCTATTGTATGTGGATTTATACTTTTTCAGCATACTGTGCGTCGAAGCAATTCAAGTCAAATGCACAATTGGATTTAGTGTTCGGAGTCAAGTAGTATAGGGGCATTCGTATGCTTCTTCTTCCCTCAGACAGTAAGAAATGTCACGCATAACAATAACAAAAAAAGCAAAATAAATAAAATAAAAGCGAGTGCGAACAATTATCACTATGATGCTTTTATACACACATACATATGTATATGCATATATAATATGTATAGGGAGTACAACTCCATAAACACCAACTAAAAGAACCCGCCAATACAATATAGTCTAGATCAAGTCAAAATGTTCATTGGGTCCCAAGTTTCTACAGCCACAGTGTCATCACTGCACTCTTTTAATATAAAAATATGTATGTATGTATGTTTCGGTTAACGAGGCGTTTGGTGGTCGCATACACACGAGTGCATACACACATATGTACCGTATGTTTGTTGCCAAAGAGGCATAAGTCGCTAAATACTCACCCAAAATCATGCGCGACAGCTATAAAATACGTATAAGTGTGTGTATATGTGTGTGCGTATAACGCATCTTTCATAAATGCTGTTTATAATGCAATATAATAAATTGGGTAAAAGTGTCTTGTTTATAAATAGACAGAGAGACAATTTAATTGATCATTGAGATTAGCCTATATGGCCCATTATCATCACTAGGGTGTACATCAACTCTACATCCCATCTCCTCATCTACACATACATATGTAAGTGCATTTGTAGTGCTGTAATTGCACGCTTGTTTCCCATTGCCACGCCGGGGGCTGTCAGATTTGTAGCGTGGTAATAAAATGTGTGGTCACGTAGTGGTTAGCTCTCGTTTTAATTGCACTTAATCGACGTTTTAATGGCAGCAGCAGTGGCAATGACTACCGTTGTGTGCAGTGCCTCATATATTTTATTTGTTTGTTTATAATTATAAATGTTTGTGCGTGTGTAGATTGTGTTTTTAATAGCGTTGTTGGCGTTGTTTTTATTTGCCATTATAAATACTTATAATAATTTCGGAGGCATTATTTTTCAAATTAAAAGAAAATTTAGAATATTTACCCTAATTGTTTTAGGCTTTTAATACGTCGTTTAGCGCTAATCTAAAATGAAAATTAAAATTGCCTTGATATACATAGTGACTTGTTTATAGTATATATGTACATACATACGTAGCTGTCTCTGCTTTGCTAAAATTTCGAGTGCGGTGAATCGAACAAGCAACTGTCATGAGTTAGTTCGGTTAAAATCAAAGTCGAATCGCTCTGAAATCTTCTCTGATCGTTTTGCTTTAGCTCGTATGCTCTATAATCTGCTATAAATAAATAGTACTTGAAAATCGCCGCTTTGATGACGAAGCGATAGCATGGGTTTGTCCGGAAAGTTTTCTGATTTTCCTCCGCCGCGGCTGTACTTCGGAACGTGCGCGCACCGACAGGATTCGATAAAAGGCGTTTCTAGCTAACTAACGAACGGCTGGTCAGTTGTGTCTGAGCACCTGGAGCAAATGCAGCGTTTGTTAGAGCAGAAGTACGCGATTAAATTCAGTGTGTACTCGGTTTCGGTGACTCCGGGCCAAAGTTAAAGCAATGCTCATTGTTTTCTTTTCACATCAAAGGCCTCGTCCACCATGAATTTGTCCTCCTGGACAAACCGCCAACGCCAAGTTTTCCGTGGAAGTCCTCAAGAAACTCAAACAAGGGTCCGACAAGACATCGTAGCCGAATGGAAGTTGCACCACGACAATGCCCCGGCTCACAATGCCTTTCTTGTGAACAGCTACTTAACCAAGGACGGCATCGCAGCGCTTCCGTAGCCGCTCTACAGCTCAGACTTTTTTGTTTCCTTGCCTGAAAAGTACTATGAAAGACAAGCATATTGAGACGACAGAGGGGAGCTAAGCAGCATGCACCTTGGCTCGCAAGGCTTTTCCGGAGTATGCCTTCCGTGGCGTCTTCAATGCTTGGAAATCGTGCTGCATCGACGCAGAAAGAGCATATTTTGAAAGTTTTTAAAGAATTGTAACGATTTGTTCACTAAATTTTTTTAAATCGACTCAGTTTTATTACTTTCCGGATAAACCGTTTCTCTTATGGAAGAACTTAACACATTTTGGTTAATGTTTTGTGTATTCTTCTTTATTGGCGTAGACATCGCTTACGCAGTTATAGTCGAGTTTACAACAGCGCGCCAGTAGTTTTTCCATATCGCTGCTTGGCGCCAATTTTAGTTCCCATCATATAGTCTTTCCAACGGAGAGAACCTCTTCCTCTTCCCCTAATTCCCCCCGGCGGGAATTGCTTCGAATACTCTCAGAGCTGGAGTGTTTTCATTCATTCGGATGACACGACCTAGCCAGCGTAGTCGCTGTCTCTGTATTTGCCGAACTGTGACAATGGCGTCGGATAATTCGTACAGCTCATCGTTCCAACGACTGCGGTATTTGGAGCATAAATTTAAATATGTAGCATTTATTATAACGACTAAATTTCCTTAAAAATAATTTAATTTTATTTATTTCCAGACAAATATCCGCATCAAAGAAGAGCCTGATGATGGCACCAAAGACATACAACCGCCAATGTGCAGTTTATCGGATATGTCCGATCATGAAGCGTCAATCGGTGAGTGAGAATAAATCTTATTGAGTTATTATTAATATGTTAGGATAAATATAGTTTTTAATAAACTCAAAATGTCAAAAATTCTAATTCTATTAAATTACCCGACCCTTCAGCCAGCAACTTTAATTGCACTGCGGTCAGAAATCAGTCGTGTATTTTATTGATAAAGAACACATTGTTTTTCCAATTTATCTATTTAGTATTTTATTTATGCGTCTGAGTGCATTAGTTAACACAATTTCTCGCAAATATCTGATATGAGTATATTAACTGTATATACATACATATGTACATATGTATGTATGAATATAGACTCTCTGGCTTCCATATCTGTTAATGTGTACGTATTGCTTTGCAGTTCTGTATTTGTGTATATGTGTGTGTATGAGAAATTGCGCCATACTTTTATTATTGTTTTAAGTTGTATTGCAAATATTTCTTTTATATCGTTTTTACTTTTATGCATTTATGCATATTTTTTATTTTTTCTTAACGTGCCGCGATAAGAAATTTCTTAGAAACCATTTAGAACGCAAATGTGCCTTTTTGTCATTCTTTTTGTGGCTTCTCGCGTACTCCCAGCTACTAGGCGCTGGAACCATAAAGAAAATGTACATTCTTCAGTATAGATAAGCATGAAATAAAAAAATCCAAATTGTTTTTTATTTTCAAGAATTTACACTCTTCAAAACCACCAATTAAATACAATCATGACCGGTTTTTTCATTTTCTGAAAAGTTCTTTACCGAAAGAAGAATTCTTGGTTAAGTTAACTAGTAAAGTTGCCTACTTTTTGTAATGGAATATCAAGCATTTAAAGTAAAATAACAACTTTTAAAAGAAAATTGTTAAATTTTTTTTTTGGCTTAGTGCATTTATTTTTTTTTTGCGTAAGGTAATAAAATGCAAGACCATTATTTTTTATAGAAAAAAATTTAATTTTAAAATTAAAATAAAAATCATTTTTAATAGGAAATATTAACACTAGCGACGATGTTGCTCTTTATTAAATATTTTATAAT